TCATGAATTAAAAGTCAATTTCAATTATAAATTAATATGATTATACAAGATTAGTGTTTATCCATTAAATCTAAAAAAAAAATGGAGGAAAAATACCTTAGAATTAAATTATTTTATTAAAGTATTATAAAAAAAAACCAAAACAAATTCAATCTTAATTTAAGAATAAGTTATTTTATTTTTTTAATATAAATTTATTAAATTAACATAATTTTAATCTCTTTTTCCTTAGAACTTTGGTTGACAAATACTTTTCCCTTATTATATTTAGTGATAATTATAAAGTGGTCGGTAAAATTGTAAAAACAAATTGCAATTGGCAACCCTTTTTGTAACCGGGTTGAGTAGGTTTGACTAGATTTTTTTAAGAGGGTCAAAAGTTATATTTTTGACCTGTCCTATAACATAGGCTTATTGATAATATTGGCTTGTAATTGTAGTGGTAAGGTTTTTAATTTTTTCAATATTTTTAAAAATATATTATATATAATATTTATTTTAATTAATATTTTATATATATTTAAAATAATAAAAAATATAAAAATTAAAAATATAAAAATTAAAAATTAAAAATTAAAATACCGAAAAATATAGACAAACAAAACCCGAGTCTTGTTGAATTGGTACAAGCAACTGGGTCGGGCCAGGTTTTAGAACCCTGGTTTTTGGTACATCTAATCTTGGATTTGATATTGTTCTTATTATAACTGCAGTCTCCGCTGCTTGTAATAAAGAAGCCACCTCCTAGATGGGGGTCGCCGTTAAGGGCTCCCAGCCACTGATTCCTCCATCTTTTCCACCATCGCACCTCCTGTATTTATTCCAACTCAATTGACTCCTTTGATTTTCATCAATTTTCCTTGCTTTCCCGTTTCTTTCTTGCCTTTTAGAAAAACCCAAAAGAAATTTGGCTGTATTTTCTACTCAATTGACAATCCTAAGCCCTCAAATCAAGTATCTGATTCTATATTCCATCTCATGGTTAAGCAATTTTATCTGTTTCATTTTATCAAACCCTAAGGATAGCAAGGTTCTCTAACTCATCGTTGGATTACCCTTTGAAGATTTATCTGAAATTGTATACTCAAGGTACAAGGTACAGAAGGTTTTCTTTTATACACATTTGAAGGAATGACTGGCTTCCTACTTTTCTCAGGTGATTATTCATTTAGAATGCCCAAGTAATTTTACCTTGATGTGCCTAGTGTTGGTGCGTAATTGCTTATATATGAGACTGAATTGAGGGACTATGTTTGGTGGTTGTCATAATTTTCATGTTGGTTTTTGTTCCCAAAATCAAGATCATAGGCCGAACCAATTGATGTATATAATTGATAAATGGGTTGGAGGATTTGTAGTAGATCGGAAATTAGGGGATATCTTGTTTATCTATATTATTTCTCTTGTTGGGATTGTGCTAGTTTACTTCTCTATTCAGTAGAGGTTCCCAGTAGTTAGATTGCCTTGTATGGTTGATTTAGTTCTGAAGCTTAAAGCCGATGTTGAGGTTGCTCGACTTAAAGAGTCTTAAAGGTGGCTTTATTTCCCAGATCCCAGCTTTTTGTTACAGAAATGGTTATT